CCCCCCCCCCTCCTCCTCTCCCCAGCCTCCTCTCTCAACTAGCCGACTATCGTTGTGGACTGTCGTAGCTATTTGAGCTGTACGAAAAACTAAGAGGGGGGGGGGGCCTTTGGGGCCTAGTCGTGGGGACTGTCTCATTCTTAGCACTTTCGGCTTCGCTGTGAAAAATATCGTCGTAAATTTACAAAATTTTTGTTAACTTGAATTATAATTTAAGTTGTAAATTTACGACAGCATGTATTTTTACGATTTCAAATTGTAATTTTACAACTTGCGTCAAGGAAAATTTTCCTGTAAACATACCTACTTTTTTTCACTGTGTTATTTCTACTTTATTTGCTAGCACTGGACGGGTGGTTGGGTGTTGTTGTTGGCGGTCGTGGGACGGGTCTTCGGCAGGCCGCCGCTCGCGGGAGCTGCTGGAAAATCCCAGGCGACTGCCGGGCCGGGCGATTTTGGAATACCCCGGGGTGATTTCACATGTTTTCGGGCGATTATTACGACTCTGGGCGCCTGGCTCGGCTCCTGGCCGGCCGCGCCGGGCCGGGGCCACAGGCCGGGGCCGGGGCCGAGCGCAGTCGCAGTGCAGGTCAGTCAGTCGTTGTCCACCGCTCGGCGTGGAAGGTACCAGCTTGGGTACCATTTTCCTACTGACCCTCGTTCGCCTGTCGTCGCTAGACTCCGACCACCATGGTAAGTGTTTGTCAACATACGAGTTTGTGTCGGTTGTGTGACTTGAAGCTCGCGATACCCTCTGACGCCTGCGACATCGTGTCCCCACAGCTCGACCAACTGCCGGACGACGTGCTGGCCATGGTCATGTCGCACCTGGTCGTGAAGGACCTCATGGCCTGCCGCCTCTTGTGCAAGCGCCTGGCGGCCGTGGCCCGGCACCCCGACGTGTGGCGGCATCGACGCCTTCGCGTGGACCACGGCGGCCGCCGCTGGTGTCCATTGCTGCGCCTGGCGCCGTGCGTGCGCAAGATCTCGACCATCCTCCCGCTCCATGCGCTGCAGTGCCGCCACAGTGACCTGCAGAGAGCCTCGTGCGCCGCCAGAGAGTTGTCGATCACCGCCTTCATGGAGACGTGTGGGGCCGAGGAGGCCGGGGCGGCCGTCGTGATCATCAGACAGCAGGAGGCGCTCGGCCGGCTGCGAGCCGTGACATTAGACCTCCGTCCGGTGGACTTGATTTTTAGTAATGGAAAGTAAGTTGCAAAGTGTAGCTGGTTGCACCATCGGAAGTTGGAATTTAAGTGGATTTAGACGGTTTTAGTGGCAGGAGAGGTGGGGCTAATGAAGTGGAACCCGAGTGGCAGCGAAGAGGCGGGTATTAGTACCCGCAGTCTCCATATATTTGGTTGTCATATCTTGTTGTACCGAAGTCTCTAGGGGACTGCCACTTAGCCCTCTGAATACCACTTAATATCCACTTTGCCCCTTTTGCCCTTTAAAACCACTTAACTTCCACTTTCCTACCTTTATTATTTTCCAGGCATTACGGCATTCTGACCGCAGACAGCATGCACTTGATGGTGGAGGCGCTGTCTTCCACCACCGACCTCGAGGTGATCGAGCTCACTGCTGGAAACAGGAGGCGCGCCTCGCACGTTGCACCCGCCGCCGCCGGTCTGCGTGGAGCCATCGCACCATCCTTGAAGAGCTTCACCTGCGACATTCTGCCGTGGACGTTGGCCTTCTGCAACGACATGCTGACCAGGTACGCCGCCACCCTGGAGGTGGTTGACCTCGCGGACGACGACCTCTCTCCCTTCGACGCCGCCCTCTCGCCGCTCCGCCGGCTGGCCCGCATGCCCAACCTCCGCCACCTGACCTCCCGAGTGATGCCCGGGCTGGGGGCGGTGGTCGCGTGCGAGTCGTTGCGCTCGCTGAAGCTCAACGTGGAGCCCGTCAGTGCCGACGACGCCCCCGGGGCCCTGGAGCTCCTCGGCAACGCCCACCAGCTCCAAGTCCTCCATCTCGACTTTCTTCATGATGGTGATGAGGCTGACACAGATTATCCTCTTATTGATGCTAAGTTGGCTGCCGACCTCATTGGAGCCCTCGCGTCCTCTGGACAGTCACAAGTGGAGGAGCTCATCATCGAAGTCCAGCATGGAACATGCCTTCCACCTGGAGCGGCGGACCAGCTGCGCCTCGCGCTGCCCTCGCTGCCCGCCCTGCGGCGGCTCGTGGTCAACTTGGCCCCGTCCTCGCTGCTGGGCGGCATCAGCTCCCTCACCGCCCCGTCCCTGCGGAGCCTCCAGATAGGACTCTATGATGGAGACTATCGTCTTTGCTTTCACGTGTTGCTGCACGACGGGGCGCTCGCGTCGCTCATGTCGAGGAACCCCTTGCTCCACGTGGAGCTACAACAGGCGTCGTGCGCCGCACACGAGGGCTTTGACGACCTGTGCGTCGGCCTGCCGAGCTGCCACCAAGATTTAAAGAAACTTGAATCTGTGGGAATTTTCGCCCATCCCAAAGGCGAGTGTCCCTCCCCAGAAGCCCACGCTATTAAACGATGCAATTGGTTTCACATCAACGACTTTGATTTATAATTTCCGTATTGTGACATTGTATGTACGTGACGTAACTGAATTTGCTCGACGTGTCAATCAATGAATAAATGCAAATTACATTCCATTACATTGTTGTTGTTTTTTCCTTTTAAATAACTTTCGTTGTTGAAATTGAAAGCCACTCTCTATCACCAACCCCAACCCTCTTTGCGGAGTTCACAGATACAACATCAGAGCCTTGTGGTTGAGGGCGCTCATTTATTCAGAAACGGCAGCAGACAGCGGGGCATCCGTCACGATAAACACACCTGCTGTCAGCGAGGTGCAAGAGCGTGGAAAACCGAGCGAGAGAGAGAGAGTTTGAGAAAAAGAGGGGAAGAGAGAGAGAGAGAAAGAGAATCGCACAAAGAAGGGGAAGAGGAAGGCGGTCATGAGAACGACAGCCACATGTTTCATAGTAGAAAAGCAAGGCATCTTGGCACGCCACGCCTCCGCGAAAGCCCAAGTCTCTTTCTCTCCTCTCTCTCCCTCTCTCTCTGTCTCTCTCCATCCCTCTCGCTGCGTCATCCTTCCGCTCCCGGCTCAGTTACAGGGAAAAGGGGAGGAGAGAAAAATACCTGCGCGCTACACACTCGAGCTTCAGCTCCATTCGTGCGCGTGAGCATAGGGAAACTGGGTACGGCATCAGCTGGCAGGCTGCCTGCGGGGCGCCGTGCGTATGGCTGCACACTCAGCTGCGCTTCGCTGGAACTGCTCTGTGCTGCTGCTGCTGCAAAACGCAATGCCGCAATCACGAGTGAGCACAATTTTTCCATAATAATAACAGCAGCAACATCAAGCCGATATCGAGACACC